ACCAAATCATTTATATCTTTTGACTGACCTTCTAATTAACAAAAACATGAAAATAATTTCATCCTATAAAAATAGAAATTTAAATGAACTTTTAGTTTCTATTTTTATTACTTTTATATTTATCTTTATCTTCTCTTCTACCTTCTCCTCTACTTCTATACCTACCTTAGATTTTACGACTGCATTTATATTTATTTTTACCTCTTCTAAATTTTTGAATAAACATGATTAAAGATCAATCAAAAATATAATCAAAAGTAAAGATGGTTCTCATAATTATTTTTAAAATTTATAACTAGTTGCAATTTAAGTTGCAACACTTTAAATTACTACTATATATGAATTTTTATATTAAAATAAATTTACAAGAAATTGCAATCATGTTGTAACTTAAGTTGCAACTTCTTAATTATGGTGTTTATCTTTAATCAAAAGATTAAAGAATTTAATATTAGGTTTATAATTCCTTTAAATGTTGATAAAAACATTAAAGAATTACAAATAAAAATAAAAAATAATTCTAACATTAATAAATATCTAATATAAAATTATTTTAAAATAAATAATACAAAAAATTGTTTATTTATCAATTAATAAATAATAAATTATATTATTAGTATTAGTTATAAAAACTTTTTTGATAAAAAAAGTTTTTTTTAAATCAAAAGAATCAATTGTTTGAAAGACTTAATATTGAATTGAATTATTTTGCAAATAATTTTAAGAACATAATTAAAACAATTTTTTCTACTAAAAATTTATATTATTTATAAATAATATACGAAGGTTATATAATAGGACATAATAAATATATATTGTCAACTAAAGATAAAAATCATTATTATACAGCTGAATTTATATGTGAATACATGCAAAATTATTCAATTGATTTTGTAAATATTAAAAGGAAAAGTAAAATTTTGTTTAGTAATTTTAAAGATAATAAGAAATTTAATATTATTTCTGATATTAAACTTGAACATTTTCAAAAGGTATTAAAATTAAAAGATACCTTTGAATATTATCTTTATTTAAAAGAAAAGAAATATTTTTCTATTAATCATAAATTTAAAATTTTTGATTAAATATTTAATTTGATTAAGTTTTTCAGAACTGTATACTGATTTTAATATTGAATTACTAGGTATTAAAACAATTTATCATTTTTTAAAAGTTTTGCTATAAATTTAAGTATAACAGATGAAAATAATAAATTAAATTCTATAAGGCAAGATATTACTGATTCTCATAAAGATAAATATGATTGCAAATATAGATTTTATGTAATTGTGATTTTTGAAAATTTGAAGGCAGTGATTTAATTTTGAGTGAAATTGATATTATAATAGAAGTAAAGTATAGATTTATAATTTTAATACAATTTGCATTTTAATTTAAAGGTTTTAAAAATAGATTCTTTATAGTATATTATTTAAAGAAATCATTTTATAATGAAATCTAAATTTTTTACTATTAAATAAAATATTTTTGCTATTTTTTTAAATTATATATAACTAAAAATTTTGACTAATCAAAATCTTACTATAAACTAAAAATTTTTGTTGATTACAAATCAAAAATCAAAAATTTTTATTATTTTTTAGAAATATTTAAATAAATTTTAATTGTTTAATTATATGCCAATGTTTTTTAAAAATTATTCTATTCATATAGTGATTATCTTAAAATTATTACTTCATTTATAATATATATTTAATAAACATATCTGATTATTCAGAATATTGACGTTGAGATAATACTTTATCTGTATTATATTAAATTAGAATTCTAACTATTATTAAATAAATACAATAAAATATTAAATATAAATACTTCTGTTTATCTTAAAACTCCATTTATAACCCATAAATATTTAAGAATTTCTATTAACAATACTGCATTTATCAATACTTATTAAATCATCTAAATATTAAAATAGGTATATAAGCAAAAGAAATTTCATCATAAACTTATTTAGAATCTTATTGAACTTGCAAATAATACAAAAGAAATTCAGCTAAGAAATTGTTCAAAAAAAGAAATAAGAAAAGAAACAAAAAAGAAATTAGATAGTCAAAAGTAACAAAATATTTTGAGCTTTTAAATTAACAGTTGATATTCAGAAATTATTTGACTAAATAGAAAGAGTAACAAGAAGCATATTAATAGTACATTTGGTTACCAAGCAAAAAATTTGAATTTGAATTGTAAAACATTATACCAAAATCAGCTTTGGTACAATTGAAGATGTGTTAATTCTGGCAAATCAGTCTGCAAAAACAGTTGATAAACTGATCTACAAAATCTTTAGTCTATAATTTGAAGATCAGTCAGAACTGATTTATATTATAAAATATTTACATTCAATAAAAATGAGTCAAATTTTAAGTGTAATTTGTTATATAATAGTATAATTAAACTTATTATTTTTATACTTTATTTTGATGCATCATGTGAAATTTTTTAATTTTATTTTTAAAAAAAAACTATTTTTGTTGAGAATCCCTTCTAATTTTTAAAAATAATATAAATAATTTATACATATTATATGCTTATTTACCTCTTTCAGTATTATAATTATTTTTAAAAAATAGATAATGAGTTTGAATATAATTTGAATTTAAATGACATTTCATCTAATAAATTCACAAGTACTATTTATTCTTCAAGTAGAATTAGTAAAAATATTAGAAAATCTAATGATTTAGCTGTACAACCTTTATTAAATAGCTAAGTTAAACTAAAATTAAGTTCAACAGTATAGAATTTTTTTGATAAAAACATTGTAGAGTATTTTAAAGTTTCAGTATATCAAAATTGTAAAGTAAATTTTAAAACTAGTTTTTCTACATCATTTTTAAGATACCATTTAAAATCTCATTAAATTGAATTAACAATTAAAAAATTTTCTTTTGAATATTATACCTTTTTTAATTCATCATAAAAAAATTAATATGTCTAATGCAATTATGAATATACTTTATGAATATAAATTAGTTGCAAAGTTATTATCTTTAATAACAAATAATATATCTGCTATAATTATTTATAGTGATAATATATTAGATGAACTTGAATTAGAATTTAACAACCTTGATTTTGCTTATTATTAGTGTGCTGCTCATGTATTAAATCTTGCTGTTACTTAAGAATTAAATTGATTGATAATTCAGTTATTAAAATATGAAACTTATTGTCTTATATCAAAGCTTTCTCTTCTATTAATAATACATTAAAAGTATTGTGTAATATTAAAAATCTAAATATTTAGCATCAGAATTAGATATTAAGACTAGATGGAATTCTATTTATTATATATTAAATAAATGGAAAAAAATAAAACTCACTTTAAATCTACTTGTTGCAAATGATAAAGATAAAAATGTTCAATGAAGATATTTAATAAATTTAGATCATCATAATATTAATGTAAGTATTAAAATAATTTTTATATTTACTTTTAGATATATAGTATTTAATATTTTATATTTATATTATAAAATAATACAATAGTTTTACTTAAACCAATTGAACGTACTACCTATCCTCATTCAGCATACAGTTATCCAACATATAGTGATATTTGATTTGTATTTCTTGAAATACCTTATGAGTTATATGAATAATAGGAAATTTTCTTAAAATTTAATTGCTAATTCTATTTATCAAAAAATAATAAATATTGGCCAATAATGAGCTTCGCCTTCCAAATTTCAGCTGTTTTAGATCTATTTGGTTTTTCAGAAGAAAAAAAAAATTTAATTAATAATTTGTCTGGGTATATCTCTCCATTATTACAATTCGAAATATCAATAATAATGGTTAGCAATGAGTTATCAAATACTCGAGAATTTTTTAAAAGATTGTGTAATCCATTGAGTTCTTTGACAAATTCAACTATAATTGCATCATCATCTAATATAGCTAGTGATCTTAAAAATATCTTTTGCGTGGTTTGAAGAATAATATAGATTCGTTATTATGGTGGAAAATGCAAATAAATGAATATCCTTATTTAAGTCAAATAGCACAGGATTACTTATCTATTCAAGCAACTGGTGTTGCTTCTGAACAAGCGTTTTCAGTAGCAAGACACACTTTAACTGCAGTTAGAAACAGATTAATGCAGAAACAGCTAGGATAACCTTGTGTTTAAAAAGTTGGATCCAAAATTATAATATTTGAATTTATTAGTGGTATGCTATTAAATTTTAATAGCACACCACCCATTAATTGGAATATGTGTTGTTTCTAGTTTTAAAATTATTTTATGTGAATTTTTAGTAAATAAAATTTTAATTTTTTCAAATATGTTAGAACGTACGAAAATCATGCTGCGGGACTATATAAATCATATGATCAAAACATGATTTTGTACATACTAACCCATATACAGTATAAACCAGGACTGATTGTTACCCCAGTCATGTTAAGGACCATTTTCAGACTTACACATCCCTAGGAGCAATGTACCTCTTTGTTGTAATATCAATCGTAATTGTTTTTACACATATCCCAAATGATCACTTCAGATAATTTATGAACCGAAATTATTCAACATAATAAATAAATTATTTTATTTTTGTTAATTTGGTTCTTATTTAAATACAGTTTATTGATGTAAATGTGTTAAAGTTAATCTTCATAGTTTAATTGATTCAATTATCTTTAATAAAATGTTATTATAGATAAGTACCCCTATTATATAGTAACTTTTTTCATTCAGATATGTAGTAGCTAAAATAACATTATTTGGCGATTTATAAGTTCAGTCATTTGGGATACCTCGCGGCCGAAGCATAGCAAATTTCATATGACTTGAAATTCTTGGATCACATGACGTATGCTGAACGTAATTTTGTTATTACTACGTGACCTGACATTTCAGGGGTAACCCGGTAAATTTAAGCTAAGATTTAATATAAAAAAATTATTTCTGGACCTAATTTATTCCAATTATGTTAGCGGACAAATTAAGAGATAAGATTTACCCTCCAAGAATGCGCGGTGCAAAAACAGAAAGAAATCGGAGAGAATATTGGGAACGAAGTAAAAAATTATTAAATGGTAGTTTAATTACTTCATTGTTACCTAACCAGTATGCGAAACAGCAGACTAATGATAATACAAGTGGAAGCATTTTTATCAATTGCACTAAAATGTATTCACCTTATTTTGGAGTGATGATATCAAGAAATGAAAAGGCTTTAGTTAAAAACCCTACTTATGCTGATATTGATACTGATATATCAATTTTTCCTATTGCGTTAAATGAAATGTCAAATTCTGTACAGAAATTGATTTATGATTGAATTAACTGGAGTGTATTTAGACATACTATCATGCACTTAAAACTATTCAAACTACAAATCCTTCTTCCCTTCCTTTTGAAAAGTAGCTTACACCTAATTTTGATGATATTACTATAGATTTGAATTTGAACCTCCACTAAATACTAGAGCATCTAGTTGAATTCGATTTATCAGTTATATGTAAAGATAAAAATCAAGATTTGGAATTAAAATGTTGCCGATATAGACAAATAGCAAATAAAATTAATGAACGTTGCAAATTAGATTTGACTCAAGGTATAGAGTAAGCAGTGCATTTGAGTTTGATTAAAAAAAATACTTATTAACATATGTATATGATTTTTATTTTAGCGGAAGCATTAATCTCTGCTTTAACACGTGAAATTTCTTTAATTGAAGGACCTCCTGGCACCAGAAAAACTGTCATTAATAATGAAAATATTGTTGGTCAAAGAAACTGAAAAATAAAAATAGGTGCTATTCTCACTATTTGTTTTACTAATCATTCTTGACCAATTTTTGGAGGTACAGTACAACGAACTATCCTTATTTTATTGAATCTGAAAATTTACCATATCTCTTTTTACATTAAATTCATGCATTTCTAACTCTCGCCCTTATGCACTCACAGAATTTGCTCGATGCAAATATAACGAATATAGGTTAGGATCTCGAATAAAATCGGATAAAATCAAAGAATTTTGTCTTGAAGTATGCAGAAACCGCGTCCGTAACAGAACAGAATAGAACAATTACGTGAATCTTTCGAAAAAATTGAGGATAAGGTTAATAGAATCAAAAATATTTTATTCAAAAAAGGGTTGAAATGGGTGATATACGAGAATTTATGATGCTCGAAGAAATAAAATTCTAAGATATTTTTTTGTAAAATAAAGGATAGTGACTTGCCTAGTTGGATTTCAATACTGAAGAAGGTTTTACAAGTGATTTTGAAAAAACCAAAGATATTACATATATTTGATAGGTGGTCAAAAAGGGAAGATATTGAAATAATTAGAAGAACACAGAAAGCGTTATCAAATCCACCACAGAAAAATAAGAAAATAAAAGATCCAAGAATACATATGATTAAAGGTTGAAGATGAAATAGTGATGATGACAAATCACAAACCGATTATGAAACAATTATAATGGATAAAAGATTATGTAGAATCAAAAACAAACCGTTCCTTAGAAGCATTATTAAGTTCCTCTTCAGTTTGGCAAATGTCAAGAGTAGAAAGAAGAATACTGACTGATTAATGGCGTACCAAAATTTGAGGTGAAGTATAGAAGAATTATCAAGTTTACAAAAAAGTCATGATGATAAACGTCAAAAAATGTATGAAATTTATGACTAGGGCCGTTCGTCGAAATTATGTCATTAGTAAGACCACAAATGGCGCAGCCAAATTTAAACTCAATTAGGTCTATTGGTCCAAGAATTATTGTTTGTGAAGAGACTGGAGAAGTACTTAAGGCTCATATTCTTAGCGCATTCACCCTTCAACGTAACATATAATACTAATTGGAGATCCACATCAATATTGCTACCTATTCTCTTAATATTGATCCAACCTTAGGAAAAACTATCAATTGAATAAATCATTATTTGAAAGATTAGTCGAAGGTGATAATTCAACCAAAATCGGTAAAGTTCAACTATTTAACACAGAAGCGAATGAGAAAAGAAATTTCTGATTTAGTGAGACGTACTCTTTATCCAAAGTTAATCGATGGTGAAAATACTGGCAAATATCCAAATATACGTGATGCTCAATATAATGTATACTTTATTAATCATAGACATCCAGAAGACTCTGGCGGGGATTTAGCAATGCAATCTCATGTGAATAAATACGAGGTGGAAATGGTAGTGGAAACAGTAAAATATTCAATATACTAAATCAGAAGATTTAGCCGCGCCTACTCCATATTTGGAGTAAATGATCAGAGATGCTTTATCTAAATCATTTGTTATAGTCATTTGTGAGAGAGACGCACAAAACTTGAAGAAATTGAAAGAAGAGTAGATGGAACCAACAATAGAAATGAAAAAGCTAATTCTAGTGAAAGTATAAGTGTTGCTTCAAAAAAATCATAGCAACAAGAAATAAATTTAAGAACTTTGATAATTTCCAAGATGACGAAGCAACCGGATCTGATTAACTGATACTATTGGATTCCTAAAAAGTAAAATAGAGGTTCTCTCTTGTTATGTGCAAGACAAGGAATGTATCTCCTTGGTTAATTTTGAATTAATGGCGTCGGAATCTAAAGATATGTGGGCTACTGTGATTAAAATATTGGATGAGCAAAATCAAATTGGTGACGGTATGCCGGTATGCCAATCGTATGTAATTAACATCATGATTTCAAGCGCGTGATTGATGAAGTTTATATAAGTTAGTCCAGATGGTGGATGTTATGAGGTAAGTTTTCGTATTGCGCATTTAATGAAGAAAATTAAATTGGTTCTTTTTTTTATATTCAGCTAATTAGATCATTTCTTTGGTGGATTTAAATGCCCTAAGAATTGTACAAAATTACATCCATGTGCTCATCCATGTCCAAAACTTTGTTTTGAAGATTGTGGAAAATGTGAATGTTCTGTAAGGGATATTATATTACCTAAATGTGGTTACGTATTAGTAAATGCAAATTGTTGGCAAAATCAAGAAAAATACACCCTTCGATGTTTAACGTCGGTCGAATAGCAATTAATGTATTGCGATCATTCAAAAGTAGTTCATGTAAGTAAATAATTTATAAAATTGATCATTATTTTTTTTGTGGATAATAATTGTTTATTGAATTTTTATTTGCGGTATTAGTGTTTTGAATCCATTGATAATGCTAGTTGTAATGAATATTGTGGAAATATGTTAGAATGTAATCATGAATGCTTAACGGAATGTAACAGATTTCAAAACTTTCAAAACCACAAGAAGAAACACAAAACGAATCAAATGAAGAAACAAATAAAATCACCTGAAACCCCATGGAGAATGCGAATCACAAAAGAAACAAATGAAGAAACAAATAAAAGATCGAACCATGGAAAATGTAAACATATTTGCAAAAAGATTATTATTTTGTGGACATATATGTAAATAATCTTGTCATAAAGGGAAAGTGTGCCCACCATGTGATTAAAAGTGTACTGCATACATCATGTTACCTTGGTTGTTTAGAACCTTGCTTGCGCTGTATGTGCAGATATATGCTTATGGGAATGTGAGCATCAAGGAAGATGTGAATTAAGTTGTGGAGCTCCGTATCAGATACCTTGTAATGAAAGGTGTAATAAACAATCGAAATGTGAACATATATGTGCTGGAGTATGTGGAGAATATGGGCGCTTTGCAGTAGAAGGTACGAAACTCTAAAAAAAATTTAAATTTTACTTTATAAGCTAAATATGATTTTTTTAGTAAATAAGTTGAGATTTAACATTAACTCAAAAAAATTATTTTTTAGAATTTTGTACCTTTCTATTGCAAAACTCCTATATAGTCCTTCATAATACTTTTGTATTATCTGTTTTCATGAAAATGTTAGAAGTCAATCCTTTTATTTTTTATTGTCACTAATAATATTGTTTTATCATAAAAAATTTCTCTCAATTATTTTTAAAAATTCTCATTTTAAAAATAGTTCCAGATGTAATTATAAATGCTACATTTAATGAGATAGATTGGGATGAGGAAAGGATTTGTCCTTTCTTGTGATCATATATTTACAATGGAAACCATGGATATGCATAGAAATGGACAAACACTATGAAAGTTCAGTTTGAAGAGGGATAGAAATCACTAAATCTCTTTCCTTATCTTCATTACCAGATGCAAAAACATGCCCAATATGTCGAACACCAATTTAAAATATTTGGAATAAATGCGTCTTAGACATACAAAATAAAAAAGTTCCTAATAAAATATGATAGCAAATTATAAGGAATCACCAAACAATGATATTAATTGAGTAACAATTTAAAAATAAGAAAATTTATTTAAAAAATGGTTTAGACAAAATACCTCATCATGATCCAAGACCTAGAGATGTCGTATTTAAGAAATTAACATTAAAAATATGAATTACCTGAAATTATTCCTTGTGAATATTTCGAAAATATTAATACTTACCATGGATTTGACGATAAATGTAATTGAGTGTGGCTTGCTCATGTTGCAAGATTTTAAAACATTATAGGAAATTAACCGCAATTCTTTGTGTTACAGGCAGGCTTTTGAAGCCGCCGTCTCTAGTTTATAAGTATAATTAGCGGTTTTGTTTAAATCTTTTTTTATTTTTATTTAATTAAATTTTTTTCTTTTCTTTTTAAGATACCAAACAAATTAGCAAGAGAAGTAGCTAAAAGAGATTTGATTTAGATCTTAACATTTCGGATGACCTTTCAAATGTTTATACTTCTCATGATTCAAATTCTTTACCTGGCAGAGTTTTACAACATTATCTCAAATAGGAATTTCAATATCACAAGTAGACCATAGAATTTATTTAGATGCACTTTTGGAATTAATCAATATACAAAAAACTCATTCCACGAAGTTTCATTTATAATTCAAGAAGTTTCTAAATTATTAAACGTTACAAATCAAGAACATGTAAACGTTAATGAAATTTGTAAAAATTTGTCGAAAGGTTACAACTTTTTATTCAAAAACATCTAAATCTTATTAAGGAAGCAGCAGAATCTACTCATTATAGTCTTTTAGCCAATGTAGAAATATTAGAATTTGATCTTACAATAATTCTATTAAACAACTTTTTAAAAAGTTGCAATGATGTAAAAACTTGTGACGAGAATCTGGGAAAACCTTTAAGCGATGAAGAAACGTTAGAAATACATCGTGCAATGAAGACTGAATCTAAACGAACAGGTATTTGAAACATAATCAATGTTTGAATGCTCTGAGTAACTTTATTTTAAATAACTCCATGTTTTTCAGGAAATTGGTTTGAATGTCCAAACGGTCACCCGGTAAATAATAATTATTTAACATATATTTATACTATTGGGGAACATAGCGGAGCGATGGAGGCCTAGAGAAAACTGCCGGAAATAGAGTAAATGAATATTTTAGTAAATTGTAATTTTTCCGTCATAGGAAATTTTATTTGTTCATATCATAAATTCTCTGTTTTTGCGCATTTTATATTTTTTTCCTTTCATAAAAAAATCATATATATGTAAATTTCAATTTAATGAGAAAATTGTAACAACTGATTTTAAAAATAAAAAATACTAAATATTATTACGTTAGAAAGCAAGCCAATATTTTTGTACTAATTATTAAAAGTATTATTATTAAATAATCCACGTATCATATTTAAAAAAAAGTCTTTTTTTGTTTCTTTACAGTCAAGAAAAGTTAAAATTAATCTTTTTAGATTAGTACTTTAACAATGCCCAATTCCCACATGAAATAACCGTGATGAACTCATTATTAACTAGATCAATGTTCAAAGTTTCAAAAATAACATTTGAAAAAGCGAACATAAAAGTAATTATTAATAGCTCCAGGTACCGAAATTATTAAAAGTCTTTTTTTTATATTATTTTGGATCGCTGTTTAATGTCGTTCTATAAAATGATGACTTCAAATTTATTATAAATCAGATTGCAATTTTCATTTCGCAAAAAATTCTTTAGTTAAAGTTAGAAATTAATATGAGCAGTTGTTAATACAGGGCAAAAATATCGTTAACAAGTGCAAAATTCAAGATACGAACTGATGTGACAATAATCACATATTTTTTTTTTTTGAATATTATATTTTAATCAACAATCCCTCTAATCACCACCCGCTATAATTTATAAAAGTTTACCACTCATAAAGAGAGACTAGACTACATGGTGCAAATCGACCCCTATCCGAAGACATGGGGCTAGAGTCAGCCTATAGCCATCGCCTCCCTCCACAAGAGGGAGTATAAACACTCACAAAAGTGAATGCAAACTGAGGAATAGACAAATGAATACTATTCTTATTTATATTAAAAAATGAAAAATGTGAAATTGTGGGATTCAAAGATCTTCATAATCTTCACTAATTATGGATTTATGTTATGTGGTTAATCTATGATCCGTAATGTGATTCTAATAATTTTAATAACCAAGAAATAATATATATTTGTTTTAGATCTTTATCGCAAATTTTTATATTTTTTTCCAATAGGGGTAAACCATCAAATTTTTCACGTAGTAATAAAATCACTCAGTTTCGACAACAACTGAAAAAAAGGATGAGAAGATCGGTAACCTGCAAGTTCACGTTCAAAATCTTCAAATATTTATTAAAGAACTGGAGAAAATGTTTTTGATGAATTAAACAAATTCCAACATGAACAAAATAATTTGTTAAAGTGGATTGATATCTATACAGAACAAAAATCTTGAAAAAGAATTACATTTACTTCATTCGAAATTCTATTCATCTACTTCAAACACACAACCATAATCTTTGCCCTATGGATAAATACTTTAAATACGAAAAGGAATAAAAGGAACAAGGTAAATATTATTATTATTATTACTTTACTAATTTTATTTTCATTACTTACAGCTCATATTTAGAAAAATGATCATCATTATTGAGTTTATTCATAATCAATTACCCCAAAGAGAAAGAAGGCTTGGCAAGATTTTTATCAAAAAAATTTTTTTTTGCTTTATGTATCAAAATTTTTTTTTTTTGATTATTTTGTATATGTTGGTAAGCTTAATAGTAAACAAATTTATCTTAATTATAAAATTACAGATAAAATGACAACTTATATCAAAGATCAAATCGAAATTAAATCAAAATAAATCAAAAAATTCTAAATAAAATGAACATCTAAATAGCCTAATTGGAGAATTTTAAACTCAAATAAAAGTATTCTTATCGAAACTAAAGATAAAATCTCAATAATATCGATGTTATTCATCCATGTATAAAAGTTAAATAAAAGTAAACATATAACGAAATTAAAAAAAAAAGAAAAAATCAATAATTCACATTTGCCAGAATTTTTGATCATTCTCATTGAAAAAATTTCTAAAGCAAGACTTTATCGGGCAGATACCTCGTCCATATAATATGAAAGACTGCTTTATTATTCATTTCGCAGAAAAAGAGAAATCAAAAGTGAGGCCCATTTTAATAAAAAAGTGTATGCTTGACTAATTTTAATTTTATTTACTTGATATTCATACAAAAAAAATTATAATTATATATATAAAAGAAAGAGTTACGATTAAATAAATAATTTCCTCATAAAAAAAATAAAAAAAAGTCGTTCACTTGAAACGAATTGAGTATTATACAGTAATTTAATCTTCATGTTTTTTGAAGAATGGTTAGTTGTTTTTATCGTTTTTATCATAAAATCTTATATACTAAATAATTTTGAATTATAATTTCTTATATTAAAAAATAGAGCAAAAATGGGAACGCAACTTATATAATAAACTTTGTATTTTGATTAAAAACACTAGCACAACAAATGACCACTAGATTTAACCTATTAAAAAGTAATGAATATTTAAAAAATATTGTGAACGCTTATTTTATTACTTGTCAAAAAAAAATGGCCGAAAATTCAAATGATTTAACTATATTTTTAAAATATTAATTAAAGGTCAGGAAAGTCTCATTCATAGATAGAAACGTCACTAAACTAGTGATTCACATTTCTCTATCCATTCCAGATCTCTATTGATAACAAACACTCTTTGCCTGCCTGTTTCAATTCGTTTTCCAACCATTCAATATCTGATTCCTACCTAAAAACACAAATTCGAATGAGTTGAATGAAAGGGAGACAAAACTAAATGAATGTCAACAAACTTTAGTTCTTTCTATACTTCACATATATTTCAAGATCATATCCTCTACTTTTCAATTTTCTTGTTTTTATCCATGCTTGCTTGTAATTAGATCAATTCCATGATTTTGTCAACCGTCGAACCTCCCAAGAGCATAACTTGAGAATCACTATTTCATTATTCTGTTTTGTGACAATTCCTGCAGAAATCACTTACTTCAATGTAAATCTTTTCAAAGATTAGGTCGTAATCAGTACTTTTCGTCGCTCTTGAGTCTCGCGAAACCAATTAAGGATTTTTTGCTACTTCGTGGTCTTGGGGAGAATCATGGATATGAAGATTCCAGATTTTTTTTTTTTGATTCGGAGAGACTAACCAATATCTTTAAAAAGTTGATTTGTCAAGACCGCAGTACCATCTCTAGATATTGATGATATAATCTGGCGAAAAGCAATATGGAATGTTTCAATGGATTTATATGTAATTGCCACAATACCATGACTTTCCAAGTTAGAAAATTTTGGTGAGCCAAATTTGTAGTCTCCTGGAGGCCTTTACGTAGGACGTCAATGAGATATACAAAATTTTCTTATTCAGATAATTTCTAATTCTTATGGAAAAGATAAGTGCAAGCGTTCGAAAATTATAAAGACCGGTTTCTCGGACAATTGGTTCCTTGCAATAGGAAATTCGAGAAGCAGTAGAATTTGATTGAGATATTTTTGATCGCAGAACAGATAACTGTTGATATTATAAGAGCTTCATCGGCTCAGAATTAGCGTAAATGAGTCAAAGTAATTAACAAGATAATCTCTAGAAAGGCAAAATTTGGTCAACTGCGAAAACTAAAGACGTTGACAACTATATAAGAGACTTCCTTTTTTTGTTGGTCCACTTTGACAGCTCATTTGTTTGAGAACGATATTGGAATTCTTGGCAAACCCTTGAGTAAACATGCCGTAATGAGCAGAAATAATCCCAAACAACCCATGTACATCGCCAAATAATGTAAACAGACTAAGCAATGGATCCATCAAATGTTGAAGTTTGTATCAGGTCTCCAAAAGCAGATACAATGGACAATTAATCTTTTGAGCGTTTCTTATAGTGTATAGAATAGAAATATTTAAATTTGAGACCGCTTCAATCACTCAAATATAGTATAGAAATTGAAGAATGATGAAAGTCACTTACCAACTGGAATCACTTGATGATATCCTTTGAATTCAATACCGATAGTTAAATCGGGTTGTTTACTTGTGACATCTTCAAATTAAATTCCTTAAAGCTGAATTAAGAATAATGTCCCGTAACCATTTGTTATAGTCGTATTGTATATCAAAAAAAATTTTTTTGCCAACATAATAATTCCAACCATCGCATTGGAAACAATCAAGTTTCAGGCGTTTGATGTAGAATTAATATTTTCAAGATTACAGCATTTAGAATATATCGATAGTTCGTATATTTGCTGATATAAGAACCTATTTCTGATATATCTTCACCTTTTTGCTGCATCTATGTAAGTGTGAAGCAAATAATTGTGAAATATCTTGCAACAAACGTGATGCTGATTGTCCATTACCTTTGTTGGATTTTTTTGTCGTTTTCTTTTTTTCACGCGTATCGTTTATAAGCTGAGAGACATTGTAATGCCTTAATGATATTCTCCTAATTATCCAAAAAAATGAACACATCGGCAGCTTTTTTAGATTTTACTACGTTAACGTAGATTGTCAGCTTCAGCGCGAATTATATTCTTATCAATGTCCTGTCTGTTAATTTTGACATTTTGAATGCAGCGAAATTATTGTATCAAAGAACTTACTTCTGGATTGCATCAATTAATTTTCTAAAATGACCCATCTTTTTTGGTAAAATAAGTATCAATCTCATCTTAGCTTTAATGTAACAATGTGCAGCATCCTCAACATATTGAATTCACATGAGTTGACTTTGCAAAATCAAATAGCAATAAAATAAGAGTTTCAAATTTTAGCCAATGGGATTCTGACAACTTGTATTTTCTGATGAATATTAAAAGTTGTTTTTGCAAAATTAATTAAATTGCATAAAAATTTTGTTAATTAATAATATGGGAGGTATGCTATTAAATCTCATATTTTGATCATATGATTTACTATGTCTCATAATCTAATTTTAATAGCATACTTCCTATATAATTATGGTTGCTAATTTCCAATGAGTCACGATTCAATTGACAGCTGAGTCAACTAAAAGATCTAACAACAGACTGAGATGACTACTATTCACCACAATCTTATATTCAGATTTGTAAGTATATATCAACTTTCAAAAGAGTCATATTAAAAAAATTCAAAATGACTTCTTGGCACATTGTTTAAAACTAATATAATAAAAGAGAAATTAATAATATACCTGATAGCATGAAGCACTGGAAATGCTGTAATTGGCAACGCTCTTATTGGAAGCATTCTAGCAAATTGTTAAAATTTATATCATAAGCTAGATCATGTTTTTAAGCTTAAACTGTTTATCGTAAAGGTTATTTGCTAACAGGGTTTAAGTATGTCTAAACTATGAAAGAAATAAACACAAATAATTAAATTACATAATATTATGCATTATCATCATAATATATAATTAAAGAAAAGAAACGAGAAAATTTATTTTTGCAAATTTGTTCTAGAATTGCCAGACCTCCATATTTTAAATTGAATATATGGATTTATTTGCTATTTTTGTATATAAATCTAGTTCAGTAATCAGATATAATAAATCAAATCTTATAAGATTCATAGTAATCATTTGTTTAATTATTTTTGTAATTTAAATATACTATGTGTATGAGTTACATCACAATTTTGAATTTTACCCTTCAAAAAAGTATATAATTTTGTCCTATTTTGAATGCTCAAGTTTTTTTCAAATGTATTTTTTAAGTTATTATAAATGATGTATAAAATGTAAAGTATTGTATAAAGATTTATTTGTTGGTATATTATTATAATTATTTGTTACTTTTAAAATTTTATGTAAATGTATCTAATGATTTTCTGCAATTATAAGTGTAATAAATAAAGATGGTAAACTATATGAAGAAATTATTGTATTTATATGAAATTCTTTTTTATAAATGTAAGTATTACTGGTAATAATAAAAGTTGATAATGTGGTTATAATAGGTTCATCTATTATTTATCTATTAGAATAGCTTGATTTTTGAATATTTTATATTACAGTTAGTGGTCGATAAATTTTATTAGCTTGATTTTATCTTAGAATTCATTAATTATTTTAATAATATCAAATCTTTTCTGATTATAAATATGAATATGCCATCTATTTATGATAATGTCTAAATCAAAAATCTATATTAAGTATATAATATATTTAGAATTAGTTTTTTTATATGTAATATTTTCTGTATTAGAATTAAGGTTCATTATGATAGTATCCTTTTTCATTTGAAAATAAGTTAAAAAATAATAACCCTTCTAGATTTAGACTATTTATATCTAAGAGTAATAATATATTATCAGGCGTTCTAATAAATCCTATTATTAAGTATGAATAATGATAATCTTTATTATGAATTTTAACATTAAAATTAATATTTGGTATTATAATTTTATTAGGTAAAAATAATGATGCAGAATTATCATCAGATAAATGAAAAGCATTGGGAAATAGATTTGCAGTATTAAAATCAGAAAGATTTAAAAATATAAATTTTTTTTATGAAAGAATTAAATAATTTTAACCAATCAGTTGCAGTGATTATGTTAAGAATATCTGTCATTAAATCATTATCTTCAAGATAAGTATCAACTATTTTAGAATAAAATGCATATTTTTTGAAAATTTATTATACCAGTAAACTTTTATATTCTAAATACATAATACCATAATTAGAATTGTTACCTAAAGAATAATACATAAATACAGAAAATAAATATATTCTTTTTTCTAAAGAAACTGCTTAATCTTTATTTGAAATAAAATGAAGAAATGAAAATATATATCTTTTTGTAGGATTTTTACATGATAAACAAATAGCAATATCTTTTAAAAGTTTAATATTAAATATTAATAGAAGTTCATATTGTTTTTCAGGATATATTTGTAAAAGAGATTAAAATAAAATTTTATTATAATTTAACTATTCACATTTTTCAGGATACATTAAGCATTTAATTTAAGATTTAAAAATATTATACTTAGTATTCAAGAATTAATAAGTAAATAAGTTGAAGTAATAGAAGAAAGAATAAGTTTAAAATTTGTAATTTGATATGATTGTAATTGATCTTGCAATTCTCTTAACATATTTTCAGGATTCTTTAAATAATTTAGTAATAATTCAAATAAAAGGTTTGTATCAAAAATATTATATTAAAATATATAAAAGGATATAATACTTTTTTTTAAAAAATAAAAATAGACAGAGCAATTATTTCATATATTATTTTTCATTATATTAATATATATTTTTTATCGTTTAGAGTTATTACAAATAATGCAATAGGAAAAAAAATAATGATATTTTAATATTTAGAGAATATTAAGATTTGTATTATTGCAAATTGTAAGGTTAAATATTTTTATTAAAAAAAAATTTTGATGTATATATATATATAAAAATAATAATTTGACATTTTGTTTATGAAACTGAATTAGCCAGAAAACAAAAATTGTCAATAGACTATTTGGGTACAAAGTAATTATAACTAAATAATAATGGTCAAAGAATAAAATTGGCTAAATAATTTGTATAGTACTAACTAAATGCTATGACTGATTTTTGTTGAAATCTTAATGAAATATTATCGAAATTTTAGCAAAAAATGTCATCACAAAGTAAATATAAATTTGAAAATACTTGGTGATGATCACATGTCAACTAGGTTACAAAATACCGAGTTTTTGTAAAGAAGAAAAAAAATAAAGAAAAAAAAAAGAAAAAAAAGATAGAAAGGAAAAAAATTGATTAATTAAACAAAAAAATAAAAACAAAAAGAATTCTTGATATAACAAATTCTAGAGTCAGAATCTCAACTTCATTATAAGCCTATAATAATTTTTTAAAGAATTTAATTGGCTGGTTTACTATAATAAGATAATTTTAATATATTTGATTTATAAATTCATTAAATCAAGGGTTAGCTATATCAAAGTTTGACTATACATAAAATAAATTGTATCTTTGTTACATTTGTACTTATTTTTTTGGTCACTGTCTTTCTTTCTCTACTTCCTATTCTTTATTAATAACGTTATAACTTATCTATTATTTTGCTAAAAAATAGCCAATATCCTATTTATTGCAATACTAAAATGAATGTTTTAATCAATTTGATATTTTAATCTACTTTTAATTCTTTAGGAAGCTTAGAAGCTGTTTTTCAAATAATTTCACAAGTATTAATGCTTATTTGTCAAAGATACTAAAAAAAAACATTAAAAAATAATTATTAATATAAATGTTATATGAAAATTGCTAATACAAAAGTTATGTAATATGATAATGAATAAGACACCATATTTGATTAATCTTATTATATTACTTAGTAATATATGTGATATAGACAAGAAAATATATATATATCTGAATTCATAGAGAGATAAAATCTTATATTCTTCTAAATCAATTTATTTTTTATTCTAACAGTATAAATATTTCATCTGAAAAATTGTATCATTTTTTCATCTACTAAAACATTCAAACTTGATATGTAAAGTTATTTATAAATATCATGAATTTTGAAAGTAGTAGTTCTAGTTTTTCAAAATAATTATTAATTATAATCATGAAAAAGAAATGTATAAATATCTCTTGATATATTTAAAATACTTTAATGATATCTGTTTAAAAATATAATAGATAAGAAACTTTGAATCTTCATTCCAATATTAATTAAGTAAAGATAATTTTAAAGTCCTTGATAGATAATTTGAGCTATCCAGTTGCATATGACTTACATAATATAATTATATTATATAAGTCACATGTAACTTGCGTTAGGTCATGAAGGTAACTTCATAATCTATCAGTAACTTTATAGCATAATGGTAACTTCATAGTCTGCCAGTATCTTCATAGCATAATAATAACTTCATAGTCTGCCAGTAACTTCATAGTTTGATGGTGATTTTATAATTTAATTACATAATCTGGTAGCAACTTCATAACCTACCATTCGTAATCTATTAGTAACTTCATAATCTACTTATGGGTAGCTTTTTTGTGTTTATTGTATTATTTTAATAGTTTCCTGTATATTGTGGTGGTGATTTTATAATCTAATGGTAAATGGTCTTGCTTTATATTAATGGTGATGTCATAATCTAATGGTTACTGCTTTCTTCTTGTTTCTGATTCGTTTACATGTTAAATTCTATATTGTTGGTATTGGCTTTCCATGCTTGTTTAGATGCCTGGTTCCATGTTGAGGATACTGGCCTTCTGCGCCTGACTGAGTGCTAGATTTCATATTGATGTGCTTACCTTTTGCGCCTATTTGGTTGCCTTTTTTAATACTAAAATGGTATAAAAAAAGGGGCGACAGTGGCGCGGTATATTTTCTTATAATGATAATCATCCATAAAAGTACGATCTGCTGTAATGATCTTGGAACGCAAATATCTCGACATCTACCAGCCCAATTTTGATGAGGATTGAACTACTGGATTCAGTAGGTTCT